TTTCCCACAATTCTTTCCAGAATTCAGTTGTGGCCTGCTTTTCTGGTTTTTCACTTTTGGTGTCACCATTCACATTAAGACTTTGATAAAAATGCCGTTGGTCTGATCAAAATTGTTGATTTTGTTTGTATTGGATGATTTGTGCCTCATATCTTTCAATTTTTCTAGCTGTTGCTGTTATCTGCTGTTTTACAATCTCTACAGCTTCATTGATGTTTCTTGTATCCAATCTATATTTTCTGATTAGCTGATCTATGATTTTGCTGTTTTTAAGCTGTTGCTCATGCATGTTCTTTAAGTTGCTAGCATCTGCCCTTACTTTTTTGACTTTTTGTTCTAATCGGATTTTTCACTTTGGCTTTGATGCTTTTTCCATAGTGGAAAATCCGATTGTTGTTGTTGTTGTTGTTGTTGTTGTTATTGGCTTTGAGTTACTCTTGACTCCTGGCAACTGCCTGTACAAGTCCCTTCAGTTTTCTTCACAAGGTTTTTCAAAAAAAGTGGGCCACTGTTGAGAGAGAATGACTGGATGTCATTCAAGTCACCTAGCTGCTTCTGCCAAAAAATATTTTCCAGCTTCTGGTTTCTTTTCTTTAACCACTGTATCAAAAATCACTGTATCAAAATTGGCTCACAGTTACAAATCTATTCTGTTTTCTTGGCAACATTTTTGAAAGTGGTTTACCCTTGTCTTCTTAGGACTTGAGGGAGAGTGAGTGACTGGCCAAAAGTTAGCTAGCTGACTTTTGTGCCTAAAGCTAGATCATTTCCAGTTCAGTTAATCTGTAGATCAAACTAGTTCCCCAAGCTTCTATTCATGCCAATAATGTGCTTGGCCTTACCCTTTGACTGATCAAGTAGGTACCAATTTTCATGATCCTATGCAGTAGATCATTTCAATAGATTTTCTCCATGATGATCTATCTGTTCCTAACCTGATCGTTCAAGTTTTCCAATGATGCATCCATCACTGCTGTAACTGAGTTGATCTAACTTTCTGCTGGTCATTTTAGGAAAGCATTAATTTAAGTATAATTTTTCATCCAGGTGGCATACATGAATTTTTAATTAATATTTATTTATTAAGGAACTAAGGAAAGTTACATCAGATGCGATAAAATCCAAGGTTACCTGTCAATATAAAGAGAAAGAAGATTTCTATCTAAAAGCAAAGGAACTGGAGCTACAAATACTACAGCAAAAAAATTCAGTGGTATTTTTTAATATTTCTTATTTAGAAAAAGAGGTTGTGCTTATTTTAATAAGTTGACTTTAAATTTGATATTTTAGGCAGCTGTAATTAATGTACTTATGACTTGAATGTTAAATAATTTTGCTTAATACCTCCTATATATATTTTAAGTTTTAAAATATGTGTAGCATTTTTTAATCCTATGTAAAATTTTAAGTTCACATTACATTTTTTGTATATTAAAGTAAGCATACTAATGAGTACAGTAGTAAACATTAATCAACTAAAGGGACCAGTGGAATTGATATCAATGTGTTTATTTTATTTATAGGAAGTAGATTTAAATGGAAAAATCACAGAAGAAATTGCAAGACTTAAAGAAGAGAAACAGGTTATGTTTCATATCAATAATCAATTCTGCTTTCTCAATGGTGGGGCCCATATTGTGGAATTAATTGTCACAGGAGTTGAATTATTTCGTCTTTTACAGCAGAACAGGAATGTGCTTGTGTGTTTGTATATAGATACATTTGTACATGTGACATTTTTGGATACACATTAATTAATCACTGCTGTATGGTATTCCCTTGACTGTTTTTCTGCATCCACATAGTTTGGTCCCACATTTTTTTCAGGTATTGTATCAGAAATATTCAAGCCCAGACAGTGCATCTTTTGAATGAATTTTTCTCTGTGTTGACTTAATAAAAACACTTCCTTAATCTTTTAAATAAAATTGCTAATTATCTATATGTGTAATGCACGGAGATTATGATGAAGAAGAATGCCTATCCATAATTGTGGGTCATTAGTATATAATTATATGGTCTACTCTTTCTGTATTAATTGCACATTAATTTTAGAATTCTAGAAAATTGAGGATAGTGGAAGCTAGACAAGGCTCCAGGAAAATAGCTTTATGCAGGCACAATATCAATATAGGTGAATGTACAGCTAGTCACTTGAAGAACCAATTATAGATAAGCAACATTTTCTTATGAAAGGCTAGATTATAAACTCCTATTTAACAATGGGCACAAACAAAATGCATACACGCTTAAAATATATATATACTAAAATTTAAGATGTCATATATATATATATATAGTGTCACAACCCCTGGTAAGCCCCAATTATGGGAGGAAGCTAACTGCTTCCATCATCTGTCAATCGGCTCGTCACAAGAGTCCATCACGACAGAAACCCAATATTTTTACTGTTGCCTTTGTTATATTTGTGTTTTTTATTTGTGCTGATAAATAAATAAAGGAAGACTAGTATAGATCTATTTCAAACTATTTAGCTCTCATCAGCTAAATCCCAGCTTCGAATCCCAGTAAGGATATGGCTAGCTGATGAGAGCTAAATAGCTTGAAATAGATCTATACTAGTCTTCCTTTATTTATTTATCAGCACAAATAAAACACACACACACACACACACACACACACACACACACATATATATATATATATATACACACATACATACATACATACATACATACAAACAAACAAACGAACAAACAAACAAACACATATCCTCACACATGCATTTAATGATTCCATCATAGGGGACTTTACAAAGTAATCCTATAACCTGAAGTATTGCACTTTTTTTAATTAAACAAGGAGATTATAGCTTCCCTACAACATATGCAGCAACTGCTCTGCAGACAGACTGAAAGAAATAACAGAATTGAGGTGGAATTGAATAAACTAAAAGAAGAGTATCAGGTAAAATGTTGACTCTGTATGAATATATACCAATAAGCTCCAATTGATTCTAAATAATTAATATGAAGTATTCTGAAATGAAAATTATAGGATGCTTTGCAAAAGTTACATCAGACAGTATACAATGAGTTCCTTCTGCCTTGATGGAATGGCTTCTGTCAACAGAAAGAGAAAGAAGACAATTTTCTTTCCGTTTGAAGCCTACCATATATCCTCCAAAACTGTTCAAAGATTTCCCCTACTATAGGTAGTCCTCAATTTACAAGTGACCATTCCTAGTTACACCACCACTGAAAAATAACTTACGAACATTTTTCACACTTATGACGGTTGTAGCATCCCCCTGGATGTGTCACCAAAATTCAGACACTTGGCAACTGATTTATTTATGAGGATTGCAATATCCTGGGGTCATGTGATCACTTTTTTCAACCTTCTGACAAGCAAAGTCAATGGGGAAGCCACATTCACTTAACAACTGTGTTGCTAACTACAACTACAGTGAGTCATTTAACAACTGTGGCAAGAAAGGTTGTAAAATGGGGCAGAATTCATTTAACAAATGTTTCACTTAGCAACATAAATTTGGGACTTAATTGTGGTCGTAAATCAAGGATAACCTATAATGTAAATTATATTTTGACTTTATGCCACAATCTGGAAGCATTCATTGAAATGACCCTTCCTGAAATTCAAGCTTAAAAATATGTTTTATGTGAAACATTTACTTAGTTCATGTCAATGCTTATGTAGTTTATGTGATAATATGTCATCCCCCAATAAAACTCTCATTATGTATAGTAGACATTTATAGTTCACATTTATAAATATTCTGATATGTTTCTTCAATAGACACAATTATTAATAATCTATATTTCTAATGGAGTAGAAGTAGCTAATTGCAACAAACCCCCCACCCTATTCAGGTAATCCTTCCTTACTGACCTCTTGTTGAATGATCATTCAAAATTACAATGAGTTTAAAAGAACGCTAATTTAAAATTCTAGTTCTGCATACATTTTTGTTGCTACTTTATGTTAAGTAACTGAGCAAATAAATAAATAAATAGTATTACTTTTAGGTATTTTTCCTACTTGCAGACAAAACAAAAATAGCTCAGTGAAATAGCAGTTGTGTTGTTTTTCACAATCATTAAAATAATTAGATTTTAAATCTAAGTAATATGCAACATTAATAAAGCAAATTCAGATTTGATTTGTTTAATAAAATAATATTAATAAAAGTTTGTTCTGCTTTTATTGTGGTGTTTATGTTCATAAATGAAGATTGGGAATGTGCTACATTTCATATTTATTAGGTCTGTACTTTATATCTTTCAGTGCATTAAAACTTATGCAGTGAAACTGAATAATTATAAATATTCTTATACCACTTCATAGCTATTTTTATAAACTATTTTGGGTTAGCTAAACTGTATGCCCTTTCCTGTTAATTTATGAAAAGTATTGTTGTGATAGCACATTATCACTGATCTGTATGGCACTTCCTGCATGTTATAAGAAAAGGTCTAAGCAACATAAAACACATCAAAATTCATTAAAGTGGTATTGATTACTTTTTGGATAATTAATTTTATTGCAGACCCTTGGAAGAGATAATGAGATGCAAAGGGAGAATGCAAAAGAAAATGAACAAAAGTTAGCTAGTCTTCTGAATGAATATAAGAAAGTACAAGCAACTTGGAAAAATGAGGTTGGTTTATTAATCAAATACTGATGTATTAACAGAGTTACCAAGTACTAAGCAAAATGTGCCAAATAAACTCAGGAGAAGATGACAAAAATAAGAATAGGGCAAAAAAGTATTTGCCTTTAAAAGCTTCATCCAGTTACTATACTAAAGACTTCTGAATGAGAGTCTTTTCTTATTTATTTATTCAGTCAATGATCAAGCAACATAAAAAGAGAAATAAAAGACAACAATTACAATCAGGATTGACAGAGAGTAATGAGTACACTATACAGTGAAATAAATCTGGTTTCTCTTCAGATTATGTAAATCGCCTTTTACTTTGAGAGTTTGAATTTTCAAATATCTCATTATTGGATCTCCCCCCCCGCCCCCCGCCCAAAGTTATATTTAAATGAAACTTTTTTTTTAGGAGAAGAATATCATGAGAGATGTTCTAGAATCTAGATAATATAATTTTGCATACTCTTAACAGAGTAAATATTTCTAACTATCACTGAATTTGAAAGAGTAAGTTTTTAATATGCTAAACATAAAGATAAATACAGTAACTGCCAATAAAGTTATTTAGACTTTTTATTGTACAAAAGAAGGCATATCAACAAGGATAGCAGAGAACAGTAAACAATAGTATATTCTACAACACCACTTAATCTATTCCCTACATTTATTTAATACATTTCATCTACAGTAATCATCCAGTAACATTTCCTGTGTGCAAGTTGGGTTGTGCAAGGTTTACAAATTGTTTGGAAGGAGAGCTTTGGTCTTGTGTCCTTAAGCAGATGGTGTTTTTCCAGACAAGGGAAGGTTTAGAAAAGGTTTAACTCAGCGGTGGGATTCACTTACCTTCCCTACCGGTTTGTAAATGTGAGCATGCGCTGGATCAGGTTCCCGGGCCTTCAGTTGGACACCCCTGGTATATACAGTATGTTGGAATGTACATCTGGTATAAAGAAGTAATATCATTCCTATTTGGAATAGAATAACAACAGAGATTCTCAATTATCCATGTCATGTTGTCGATCTGCATTTGAAAGAAAAGGGTCGCTCTTTTGAAGACAGCAAAGTTCACATTCTGGACAGAGAGGACCACTGGTTTGAAAGAGGCATCAAAGTTGCCATCTATGTTAAAATTGAACAACCCAACAGAGGGGAATGGATATCACCTATCTTCTGTTTACAATGCAGTCCTTTCAGCAGCTCCAAGACGGTTCCATACCCTTTTACACTCTGATTCCTGATCACTCAGGTGACTCTGAGAATAAAGCAGAGGTGGGTTCCTACTGGTTTGCACGGGTTGGGGCGAACTGGTAATGGTAATTTGGCCTGGGTCACAGAACCGGCGGTGGCCCAGGCTGGCCACGCCCCTGAACTGGTTCTCCAGTCTCCGCTGCCATTGCCGGCATGTGTTTTATTAGAATTTCATGGTTTTTGCACATGCACAGAACAATTTGCAGTGAACTGTGCAGTGCACATCTGTCATGTACACCAGCGAAGCGAGCTGGTACCAACACAGGTAGGAACCCACCCCTGGGATAAAGACAGCAATAGCCTCAATGACTCTCAGAGAGCTAATGACTGACTTTCAGAGTATTAGCGATCAGATGACTGCAAATATAAATACTTCCATTTCCCTCCAATCAGTTAGAACTGAAGAAGCTACTTGGATGAGAAGTGAAATGTTTAAAAAAAACAAACAAGAAAGACCAGTTGCCTTTTGGAAAAAGCATCTTTGGAACATTTAGAATAGAAATATTTTTCTTGAACTCTAGAACTATTTGTTCCATTTGTAAATTCAATGCTAAAAATTATTACAAAGGAAATCATATGTGACTCAATTTCTTTTAATTTTTTTGTTGTTGCTCCAGGTAGAAAACATGTCTAATGAAAATAAAGAACAAAAAGATGATAAGTGTACACAAACTACAATGGAATTTTTTAAGCAATATGAACAAAAAGAAAATGGAAGAAACAATAATCTGGAGATAGACAGTGGTATAAAAATAGGAAAAAAGCATTCAGAATATTTTGAAGGTATAATTATTCATAATTAAAACATAAAATGTTGATAATATGGTTAAAAGTTGTAAAGTAAGTGATTCCTCCTCCTTGTTTCTTACAATGCCAACAGAAACACCGATATTTAGCACCCTAGCACATCTGAACAATGTCACTTATTCTCATAAATTTATATGATTCTGCATCTGATTAACTTCCAGCTCAGTTGGAATAGAGGTAGAAAAGCTGTGAGTAATGTACTGAAGCTAGGTATAAAACAGGCATATTTTTGATGATAAGAATTTTTGCCTTGTCTTGGCTCATAGTGTTTGGTCTCTGCCTTCCACTTATCTGAGTCTCTCAGACTCTAAAGTCAAGGTAGCAGAATACTTTCCCATCTTCTCATGTGTTGTTTTTAACTGATAAAAATCAATAATGATGTAGAATGATGACTGAAAGGTACTTTTTAACTATTTAGTTGATAATATGGAAAAAGCATTGGTCAGCTTATGGGGCTGCTATCTTTTGTAAGGATGGCCATCCTTGGAGTAATAATAGCCAAACCTCATAGGGCTTTATAGGTGATCATCAACATCTTGAATTGGCCCAGATATCATTACACTAAAGTATACCTCCTTGGTCCTGAAAAATGACAACTTAAGGAGAGGGGGAGTTTTTCTAAGGTAAATAAAGAGACATTCCACCTTGAAGTCATTTTGGGGGAGAAAACATCTTTACTTTATTGTCATTGTACGTATGTACACAGTATATACATACAATAAAATTCACATAACACCCAGAGACCAGGCCCAACACACATAATAATCCCCAAACACACCCCCACCCACCCAAAAAAATCCCCGTCCCTAAGCCACCCAAGCATCCACACCACACACCAAGTAGTGCTGTCCAGTAGCTCACTGATGGTGGCCCTTTAGTTCATTGTTGAGTGCAATTATAGCTCTGGGATAAAAGCTATTCAGAAGATGTGTGGTCCTAGTTTTAATTGTTCTGTATCTTCTGCTAGAAAGCAACAGTCTAAAAAGTTTGTAAGCAGGATGGGAATCTCTGCAACTTCCTCAATCAGCGAGATGCGAAGATGTCATCTAGGGCTGGTAGCTGGAGCCCGGTGATATTCTGGGCAGTTTTAATGATTCTCTGTAGAGCTTTTTTGTCCGCTGCAGAGCTGCTCCCATACCATGCAAGAATGCAGTATGTCAGGACATTCTCAATAGTGCTACGATAGTAGGACAGAAGTAGATGCTGAGATAGACTTATCTTCGTTAACATTCACAGGAAGTACAGCCTCTTCTGTGCTTTCTTCACAAGCATGTTAACATTCATGGTCAATGAGAGGTCCTCTGAGATATAAATGCCCAGAAATTTAAAACTACCAACCCTATCCACTTCCTCACCATTTATGTACAATGGTAAATGTACATCTCTCTTCCTCCTGAAGTCAATTATAAGTTGTTTAGTTTTTTTGTGTTAAGTGTAAGTTTATGTTCTGAGGTCAAACTGTTAGGTTTACACTTGCTGTTTCCCAAGGGAACACAAACAGACTGGCGAGATTCTTGTAATATGGTGGTCATATTTGAGTCTATTCAGAGTGGTTCCGGCTGCATACATTTGACTGTTTTTAATAGATAGCATCTGGACCATGCTTACTCTATTCTTCCTGGCAGAATAGGCAACCCCCCCCCCTTTTTTTTTTACAATAGAAAGACAGTACCAGACTGTCCCAGATTTAGAATCTTGGACTAAAGATAGGTGCTTATTCTCTGTAAGCATCTAGCTTGATAACTTTAATATCATATTGTATGTTAACATTCATTTATCTGCACTTTACACTAGCAGTAGAGATACCCATAGAAGGAGTACAAGGAGATGCAAAATGATGAAATCAGTGTTGCAGCATTCTGAAGAAAGCCTTGTCCCTTTTGTTAGGGGGTTGTATCACATTCCCATACAATACGGATGAAGCTTGCAGTAAAGTGCTGCTTTTGCCATTCCAATGGAAAAACAAGCTCCTGAGAATATCCATGCTTCCAACTGGTTGCTTCTGGAAAAATAGCAAAGGTTACAGAGATAGAACTTTATTCCTGCTTTTATATTCTATTTTCTAAACATTATAGGTTTCCAGTGTGAATTTCCCTCTGGATGATTGAAAACTTTAGCACACTGAAAGCCAAGCATGTCCAAAATATATAGAAGTAGAACTACATTAATGAATTGCAAATGAATTGCTATTATTACTTTACTATTAATTGCTACTATTTTTTACAAAAAGCATTTTGCATGTGTCCATATTACATGAAACATATTTAAAAGTTTATTTTTGAGTAATTTACTGTTAATATATTCTAGATTTTAACAGATTTAAAATGTCTTGATAATTGTATGAAGGAGGGTGATCATTTAAAAGGAAAGCCAAAGGGAAATCTTTATGTGTTAAATTTAATTACACCAGAACTGACCTATAATCATGGTTTGCTAATTGCAAAGAAAGGGCAGTTTTAGAAAGAAATGAAACCTTACTTGATAAAGGCAGGCAAAGATATATGTAATTCTCTTGGATAATTTTTATTCTATGATGTTGTTACCAGTAGAAAAACCTAAGACTTTCTTAAAGTGTTGAAATTAGATTGTTTTAATCCCACTATAGAATTGGAACATTCTATTGATTATTTGGGTGCTGGTGTTGCAAATGACTGCATTTCTGAGAGTACTGAAAATATTAACAATGCAATCAATGAGGAAGATTACTTGACAAATAAAGGAATCTGTGAGAAGCCTAAAGAACAAATTAAAATTAATTGTGAGAAAACTGCAAATAACAATCTGAAATATGAAATGGATTCTGTATTGTTACCACCGATCAACACAAGTGACTTGGATAAGTACAATACTAGTAATGCAGAAAAAACAACACCAAAACTTCATATATCTTCCAGTCAGAATATAGGTATAAATATTCATATTGATGAAAACATTAATAATCTACTTCTAAGAAGAGCTTTAAATATTAAAAATTCAGCTAGTGGTGTACATGAAATGCCTAGCAAACACTTTGATAAATACAGTTCCGAATTGAAAGAAGTAGATACAAAGGTTTTGCTCCAGCACTCTCAAGCTCTACATGAATCTGAAAATGGAGACATGAAAATTAATGAAGTTGCCAAAGATAAACAGATAAATGTCCATGCTTCCAAAGACAACAGTGAGCAATTTACTGAATTTTTTAATAAAGAAAAAGAAAAATCATTGAATACAATAATTAGGAAAATAACTCTGGAAGAAAGCACAAAAAAATCCTGTTCTATCCTCATGAAGACAACAGAAAATTTAATAAACAGAAATGGAAGGCTATCCTTTGACCTTCCAGTTATGGATGGAAAAACTGAATATTTAGATTTATCAAGAAAATGTCAAGATGAAGTTCAAATAATGCCTCTCTCTTTGAAGGAAAGACCTCTCTCCCAAGAAATAAAAAATGCTCAGAGCTCAAGAATTGATAAGATTATAAACATGCATAGTGATGTAAGGCAAGAAACACCAGGTAAGAAAATATTTAAATTCCAATAGTTATTTAAAATTATATAGCCACATCTGTCATAAATTGACATCCATTCATAACCAGCGTATGCTGGAATTTGGGGAAAAGGGAGGGGATTGCTGCAAAACAAACAGGTTGAACAAAGAAAGTGCGTAGAAGTTGAACACACTGCCCATCTGACCAATAATCTTGTAAGATATTTTCATGGCATCCAGCAGACCTTTGCTGGAATATTTCTTTGCCTAGTTCAGGGATCCCCAACCCCGGGTCCATGGACCGGCACTGGTCCACAGTATGTCAGAAATCAGGCTGCGCAAACAAGCAAAGCTCCATCCATGGGGTGCAAGCAGCATATGAAACCACACCTCTTCCAATCCATGGAAAAAGCTGTCTTCAAGAAACTGGTCCCTGGTATTCAAAAGACGGGGGGCTACTGGCTTAGTTTGTTTCTTCACTTTGTGAATGATCCTATTCTTTCTAGCCATTTCTGTGGCTTCTCCTACTTGGTTTATTCACCTCTTTTGCTGTCATGTTTCTATGTCTTACTATATTAACTCTAAATCATACTTGGTTAAGTAGACAAAACTGGAGAAATGGAAGTTCTCTGGAGAAAATTATAAGGTAATAGATGTTTAGTCCAATGATGTCTGAATGTGGTTATCTACCTGCCTGTTAATGCATGAACTTCTTTTTAAAGCTACTATTTACTGATAAAGTCTTGGTATAATAGCCGATGGAGTTTTTCTTTGGATATTAAATGGATTTCCCCCTACCTTATCCAGAAACATTTGGAATGTGGGAGGAACAGAACAAACATAGATGGTATCACTTGACAAATTATAGATTTTTTTTTACTATATATAATCAAGAAACACATATACATAGTTTGTATTAAGTTCTTTCAGCAGAGAACAAAATATTATACAGTTAAGTTTTGATATTAGATTTATTTATTTCTTTAATAGTATAATGCTAACAGGTATTTTTCGTGGATTAATAAAAATATACAAGTAAATTTAAAGTTTTGGCACTGTAAAATTATATGGAAATAACACAATTGTTATCATTTCCTCTTCGTTGATCAGTTTCCGCTTGCAGTAGTAGAAATGCTGACTCTTTAAATACCGGAACTATTAATCCAATTCCCAAGAGAAATCCCAGTGCAGAATGGAATGCAATAGCAAACAATTTTTATGATCCTTCTTTTCCCACAGAACACGTAAGTCAATTAAAAACATTTCAGAGCAGACCTTGGTGAGCTAATTCCAGAGCTATGTATAGAATTGTATGCATCTTGATGCTTTAAGACTGACTTGATCTCCACAATAATATCAAGAGGGCAAATGTGGCAACATTTTTCACAATTAAATTTGATAGAAAACAGCAGGAAAAAGTCACAGCATATAAATCAAATTCATCACAGCTTATTTGAAGACAAGATCTACATAAAAGCTTTTCAAGTTTTAAAAAAACATGAATACAGTATTTATTTTCTAACTATAATTACAGATATAAGCAATTTGTAAGGCTGAATAAAATATAATACAATTTATAACATTTTGACTTTATTTTCTTTTTCTTCTACTTTCATTATCTGATTGCTAAATCTAAAAGTAAAGTTGAGTATGTTATGCAGGCTTCTGTTTAAGCAACATTCTTCAAGTTGAAACAGAATGGGGAAAATTGTACCCATCTACAAGAAAGGGGCATAGATCAATATAGTGCCAAGATCATTGTCCAAATATTACCGTGTTTCCCCGAAAATAAGACAGGGTATATTTTCTTTTGACCCCCGAAATAAGCACTTGGCCTTATTTTTGGGGAGGTCTTATTATTTTTGAAATGCAGGAGGCAGCGAGCATGGTCACCTCATGGCTGCTGCTGTGTTTCAATATTTTGGGGAGGGTTTATTTTCAGGGGAGGGCTTATTTTAGGGCATGGGCTAAAAAGCCCAATTGGGCTTATTATCCAGGGAGGTCTTATTTTCAGGGAAACAGGGTAGCTATGCCATTCTTGTGTAAAATAATATAATAAAAAGTATGGCCACATAAAAATCTTGTTTGCAAAAAACGTGTAATATACTTCCTGGTAACAATATTAAGTTCAAACGTCTAACAGAATCTGCTTCAACTTCTAGGTATCCAGGACTAGAACAAGAAACTAAACTTCTATGCTAAAGAAACTAAATTCATATTTAATGAATAGGTCTAAATTCTTTTCAGAAAATGAAGCTTGAGATTATAAGGAATCAATGCTTAAGACTCAAGAAGCACTGTGGAAAGCAAAGCTCAGGCATTATATGGGCATATACTTTCCGCAGAATTTACCTTCTCTGCAGTCCAATCCAGAACGACCAAAAAATGTTCAAATTTCAAAATATTTTAAATTAAAATCAGATTCTACCCTCTCAGAGACATGTTATTCTCTTGTCAAGTTGGCCCTGGTTCAAATTTCAGAATATATGAAACAGCATTAGAAAACTTTTGATAAAGTTTAAACTTGTTTGAACTCAAAGCAATGTTTTGAACATGAGAGTTTGAATTCAAAACAATTTGCATACTATTTATATTAATCATCTCCTTGAAATATATCAAAAATGGGAAATTGAAAAGATATAAAATTATATACTTGCAGTTAACCAAAACTACATTTTGAATACCATATATCAGAACTCCTAAAATCATAGCAAGAAAACTGTAGCATGCAATGAATTAATATCATTTGTATTCAAAGGACAATACTATGTATGTAAAAATACGTGACCCGTCAAAACCGCGTTCCACAAAAGCGCGGTTGATGAAAGCGCGTATGTGACATCATCACAGCGCGACAAAAAAGATCGAAAAATTGAAATAAAAATTAAATTACAGCAAGCCGATTCACATAAAGGGTTAGGTTTAGGGTTAGGGTTAGGTTAAGGGTTAGGTTTAGAGCGTTAGCGTTACGTTTAGCGTTAGGTTAAGGGTTAGCGTTAGGTTTTTCGTTAGGTTAAGGGTTAGGTTAAGGGTTAGGTTTGAGGGGGTTAGGGTAAGGTTTTCGCTTTATTTTTACATTTTTCGATCTTTTTCGTCGCACTGTGATGACGTCACATACGCGCTTCCGTCGACCGCGCTTTTGTCTACCGCGGTTTTGTGGTGGAACCGTAAAAATAATGCACTTATATAACTGCATTTTTCATGCAGCCCTCCTCTCATTTTCAAATAGCCTGAGTCTCTCTCAATTGTTATTATATTACTGTAGGATGCAAAGGCGTTCCCATCTCCTGCATTATAGTAGCAGAAAGTGACAAAATTCTAACCAACCCTTTAGGGGCAAATTAAAGGAGCAAAAACATTACAAAATCACAATTCAAAATGAATTCAACAGGCTTGTGTATTGCAGCCACACCCAGCAATATTGGGTTCCTGAATTGCCTAGAATATTCAACTTTTGTATGTTTCTGCTTCTGTTGCTTCTTCCATAATAAATGATTGGGAAGACCTAGCATGGTGGTATAATGTATGAGAAGAATCAAGGACTACTAGTGGATCATCAGCTAAACAGGAAAAAAGCAAACCTGTATCATCTGGGCCTACATTAGAAAAAATACTGCATAAAGATCATAAAAGCAATAGCACCATCATGGACAGCACTGTGTACTGTACTTTAAAAGGGACATGAAAAAGCTGAAGGGGGTTCTGAGGAAAGCTACCGGGATGATAATAGAGTCTGGAAATCAAGTCCTGTGCATTAACAGAGTTGGGCATGTTTAGCTTTCCAAAGAAACAACTGCAGGGAGACATGATCATGGTCTATGGATATTTGCAAAAGTTTCCTTTGCAGATGGCAAACGACTTTTTCTGTGGGAAACAAGAAAATGTTCATTCTGAAGTTACAAGACATTTGGTAGGAGGACTTTCTTGATGGCAAGAGCTAAACAACCTGCCAGAAACATTGGGGATTTCTCCATGCTTTAAACAAGGTTTGGGTAGCTTGGAGATGATTTAGTGGTTTCCAGTATTAAGCAGGAGGATTTCATTATATGACCTAAATGATCTCTTTCAACTTATCCATGTTATATTCTATATTCCAAAGAAAAGTTACATAAGAATGTTCAATGTCAGACATAATGTTGACACAACATTGTCTTTCAACATGTAGAGGAAGATCTCATGTTGGTGAGAGAAAATGCTGTCAATATGGCTGATACTGGGCAAATATTTAGTTTTAATCCTACATATTTTACATGTGCTGTATGTGCTATTTTATACCTATCTTGTTTTGTCAAGTGTTGAATATTATACGTTTATAATTTGAAGGTACTTCTGGCATGAACAAAGAAAGACACAATAATCTTATACTATAAAAAGGGTTGTGTTTGAAACTCTGGTCCAACAATAATTCAGTTGTGTCAGTTTAATTACCTTTTATAACCTGCATCAGGGACATGCCTGAGATAGAGTTACATTATAGAACAATAAACCCAAATAAGTATCAGAGATTCCAGCTTATTCTTTCATAGTATCTTATAGAAAAATGTATGACTGTCCTTTATTATTTAGCAATCAGGCATAGAAAATGATTTCTAATATTGTATACTTACATTTTAGGCCACGACAGAGATTCTATCACAGCCGCAAATGAAGTCAATACAGCTTCTGCTCAGTACAGCTACTTTAAAAGAGAGCTTAGACAGCACTGAAGATGGGAATTCACAAAATGTCTTCATGAACACCCAAATCAGTAAAACTGAAAAGTTATTGTATTTAGAAAAGCTCAGCCAGTCCAGAAAAAGAAAGTATGAATATTTGGAAAAAGCAGTGATATCAGGAAAAATGGAAATGTAATTGTTTCTAAATGCATGTCCTTGACTTGTCTCATGCTTGTTACATTCAGTGCTTAAAATAACATCTTGTGAAGTGAGAAAAGTTGAACTGTTCTGGTAATCTCAAAAATCCTTGATTTCTCTCCATTCCCCAAGCAGAGATTGATTATTGGGGTGGGGGGATATGTATACATATACTTTTCTTTCTCACTGCTAATCATTAGAGGGAAATAAGTGCAAACAATATGAGGGTACTAAAAGTAAATCAGTTCTCAAGCTAATCTGAATTTTCATGGTCCAAAATCCTAACACAGTATCTTTGTGGAGTTTTCCAAACTTAGAAATAACCTTTAGATACTATAGATTATTATTTTAGAAAAAAATAGTTATTGAAATAAGAGAAAATACTTGTAGCTCAGTTTCAAATTTTGGCAGTTGTTTGCTGTTCGAGCTTGTTTCCATTTACTTTTTAAACTTGTTTCCATTTAGTTCTGTTATCAGACTAGGTAACGTCGTCAGCGCATTTATTTATTAAGTCAGCTTGCTACTTTTTTTGTTTCTCATTTTACATCACAGAAAGTATTATTAAGATTATAAAAATGGAATTTATTACTTCTGCTGCTATATTTAAACAAGCTTGTAAGGCGATTTAATGAATGCCTTAAAATCCAATTGTTATTTAGTAAATCAATAAAGAAATTCACAGAATTAAACTGAATGGTTTATTGTCATCCATTTTCAATGTGATAAACTTATAAATGAAGAATCAAGTATCTGACAAACTGAGAAGACTGTTTTTCACTTGATTCAAATTTTGTTTCCAGAAGTTCAGAGTGTCGTATAACTGCTGCCACTGCTGTTTTCCAAAGGTCCGATGTGTGCTGTGACTAAAGAAATGTAAAAAACAAGAAAGTAACAAAAACGTTACATTTTTCTACTTAGAAAATACAAGATAGAATCTAGATTTTTTTTTAAAAAAAAAACCTTTTCAAATTGTTTATAGCAAGCCTCAGCTACTCCAGGATTCTGCAGCTGCAGTTAAAAACCATAATATAGGACTCATTAGTATTCTCACCACTGTTTGGCCATTAAATGAAATGTGCTGGAAAATAGGACTCTTTCATTAAATAAGCTAATCACATTCAGTCTGAACTTTAATAAAATTATGATAAATAGCAACTATTTAACTACAGGAAACTGATAAGAATTATCTTACTTCTAGTTAAAATATTAAACAGATGTATAAGTACTATAATCAGGACAACATTAAGATGGTGGAGAAAAAGACTGAGGACTCACCTGGCCACTACTTTTCTCTGGGTTTGATCAATTTTGCAATGAACCATCTTTGTTTTCACAGCTATATAACAAAACAGAATGAGACGTAATGAATTCCTTTTAAAATTCTACAAAATATCCTTGTAGTAATATCTTTTCTTTCAATGTGGGTTTATTTCAACCCAGGAAGAAGGCATTATTACCAGGAAGTATTTTATACATTAATTTATTTAAAATAAATACAATGCGCTTTTTTATTTCTAAAATTATATTCAACATTGCAGAAACTATACCTGGCTATTAAAGCAATTGTGTATTTCACTTAAAATTCAGCTTAAAAACTCTTACAACTGAAAAATATATGTTCAACAGAAGTGAATTATACTAAAAATTGTGTTTAACAAATTATCTTACCATCAATAACAAATGCTTCCACATCATCAGCTCCTATCTGAAGTTCCTGCTGCATGGTGTCAAAAGAAATGTCCTTATTTTCTACTGCCATTCCCATGAAGGTAAGCAATCTCATTTTTGCCATGTTCTGTTCATGCAGCAGACCTATGTTAAAGAATACTAAGATGTAATTACTTGCGTGCAGACTCTGACAAATAATTTTCTTATAACATGATTTAGGGAAAAATCATTTTTATAACTGAGATTCTTTTCATAAATTGCAGAGATTAATGAAACACCACAGTACCAACACACCAGTACATACAAAATGTGAGCGCTATTTTAACACTGTTATAATATTTTCAGAATTCTAATTCAGTGAGCAACTTTGCCAATTTGAGTGCCAATTTAATGCTTATACAACTCTACCAAACATTGGTAGACCTAAGTAAAGTTCCTCAAAATATAGGGCAGACAAAGAAAAATCTCAACGAAAGTTAGGAAAATACATTAATTATATTTTAGAAATTGCCAAAGTAAATCCAAATGCACAACAAATTGTTATATATTTGAATTAATAACATTGTTATATTAATATAAGAGCAGAAAGCAGATTGCTACCAGACACAATGCTGCATTAATTAGCAATAATTATGATGCAGACTATTTATCTGGCACAGATTCAACAAAAATGTGATCATCATAACTCAACCAAACAGGGTGCTCCAGAAACTACAGCTAACTGGGCTTAATAGAAATCTACAAGCACCAAAAATCAATTAGTTGTGCATTAACTCTAATTAACAAATGCAAATGAAGCATTAATTACCCCTTTAAAAGTAAAAAGGTTGCCTCTTGTCTGTATGATGAGATTTAAATGTGAACATGTTAGGGTGATTCACAGTTGACACAAGATAATACAACTGTTGGCCTAACCTGTCAACTTTAATAAGGCAATGCATTGTAACAAACAGATGCCACCTGTGGGAGCCTTTCCTGAACAGATTTTATAGCTTCATGTGGCTTGTTAATATTTTTGAAACAAGGGGAGATGAGCAAGTAAAAGAGAAGGAAAAATAATTTTTAAGAATAGAAATATTATTGTAGCCCTTTATGGAATTCTTCACATACCAGATGAATTAATAATCGTAGTTGAGTTAAATGGATTGACAAAAAAAGAGGTATAAAATGCATTCTGTGCAATTCCCTGTATCTTAATATTTCAAAAAATCACATGTAGCCTACTTATTACTTATGTATAAAGGCAACTGGTTCAGTTTCATGTATAAATAAATAAGCTAAACTTGCTTGGAAAAAATGAATATACTTATCTGAGCCTAGTCTACTATATAGTTATGGATCTAGCAGAGGCTTCTTTTAATACAGGAAGAAAATGAAATTACATTGGCCCATTTCTTTTCTACTTGAGCCCTCATTGCCATCTTTAATGCTTCTGGAGAGAAATCAAACTTTTGAAGAAAAATGGATCATAGACAGAAGGACAGATTTGCAAAAGTCACTGTTTTACTTTATCTCCTCAAAGGCAACAACACCATGTTAAGAGCAAATTTGTGGATCTAATCCAATGTCTTCAAGTGGATGAAATACTAAATTATTTTAAAAATTCTACAGTATTCATTAAATGATACAAGAGCAGTGGCATTCCATTTTGTATTTGCTTTAGAATTACATTTTTTCTTCCAATGGAAACAAATTGTATTTATTTTAGAAACTAAAACCCACAAAAATATTAAATCCTGATTTTATGAAAATATCACAGGTTTGTGACTAAAAAGCTGTTTGATTATTTTCATCTAAGTTCCATTTATTTTGGTGTGCTGAAAAGAAATAAAATATTGAAAAAACTCCTAGACACCATGATTTGCCACAACATGCAAAATTGTCTTCAAATTTATCA